TGGAGGGTGAACCAACGGCAAGGGAAGACCTTTCTCTCTCTGTCTCTCTATCTCACTGTCCACTCTGCCTGTCAAAAATTAAAAAAATAAAAAATAAAATAAAATAAAAACAAAGTAAGAAACAGACATGGAAATCCAGATGATTTGGGAAGTATTTGCCCTCTCTTCCATTCTTATGTTCTGTGTTGACATGTCTTTCTGGCTTTTCTATTCCTCAGGGGCTAGGAGCGGCCGTCACTGCTCTTGGCTTAGACAACTGTCCCAGCCTCAACTCCACGCTGACTTCCAGGTTTCGAAGTCTTTGTCACCTGCAGCCCAGAAAGCAAGCAGCCGCTTTCGGGTGGAGATTTAAGAGCGAACCAGGCACACAACAGTCTCCATGCACATGAATACGTAGCCCTTAAGCCTGTGCCATAGTCTGTGTGCATTTTACAGAAGCGTATACACATCAGGAAATATTTTCATTGATTTGGATATGAAGTCGTCAACATACAAAAGAAGTTATTTTTGTTTCTTTTGTGCCCCTTTTCCTTCTCCAGTTCAAGCACCAAATGGTTTTTATGGTTGCTCCAAGAGAGGGTATGTTCTTTGGGGGTGGGGGTTGGAGGCAGAGATAAAGAGAAATAAAGCCAGGCTCTTCAAGGGAAAGAAATAAAGAAAAAAGAGAAGGGAGGGGGAGGAACCGTCTGGGAATCTCAAGAACATCTTTATTTCGCCTTTTAACTCTCCGCCTTTCTGATTAAAGAGTTCAGACCTGCTCCCTCGCCCGTGTTCAATTATGCCCCAGCACCTTTTCTCAGAAACTGTCACCACCACTTGCTGAACCGCAGCCCCATCCTGAGCCATTAGCCCAGCTCTTTTCCGTTTCGCTTTTTTCCTCTCAGCTTCTCCCTGCAATCTTTATAAATCTCCCTTGGAGGAGGAGTGTCCGAGCGGGTGGAAGTCTGAACACAATGCAACCTGAGAATTTCTGTCACTCTCTGCATATGCTCCTAAGTGCTTTAATCCCAATTAGGGGCGGCTGACACACGGTCCTATTCATTCCCATCAGCTCTTGAATACATTTGCCTAGAAATGAACTTCACAAATAGAGGCGCTCCTAAATGTGCCCAACAGCAAGGAAAATCGAATTGAGTGCGGGCTCATTCGGCAGCGGCCGGCAGAGGAGCACTGAATGTGACGTGCCCTGAGACATTGCAATTCAGCAACACGCTCGCTGACTTTTCTTTGCACCATGTCAACCGAAAGGACCAAGAAATAAGTTGGGGAACTCCGGTTAAAAGGCAACTTGAGAGGGACTCTGAATACTTTTATTGAGCCCTTTCCAACGGAGTACTCAAAACGCAACAAAAAAAAGGCACCACAAAACCCACCAGCGAAGTACGGGCTGCCTCCTGCCCGCGTCCTGGCTGCGCGTTTGGAGCCTCCCAGCCGCCGCGCATCCACCGGCCACGTAATTAAGGGGAAAATGGCCCCGTCGCCGGCGTGTCATCTGGTGGCGTTCCCAGAGCTCGCCGCCGCCGCCCTATTCAGACCCGGCCTTAATGTCCCACCCGCGCCTCAGGGGCCGCGCAGCTGGTCTGCCCTGACCTGCCGGCCTTGCCAGCCCGGACACCCTCAGGGGGCGCGGCCCAGGCCGGCTCTGGCCCAAAGTCGGCCACTGAAGGCGGGGTCTCCGGGGTCTCTGCCCTCTCCTGCGGCCTCGCCTCCTGTCCCGGGCCCTGCGCGGCTCCCTCCAGCCCGGGTTCGGGACTCCGAGCACCGGGAGTGTGTGTGTGTGTGTGTGGGGGGGGGTGACTCCCCTACACCCAGCTTCCCAGGGCTGAGGGCCCCAGGGGACAGCCAGCTTGGTCCCCCGGGGGTCCCGAAGCTCAGGGCTTTTGCGCGGCGGAGACCTGCAGTCCCAGAGGCATGCCTTCTGAAAGAAGCCGCACAACGCAGGCCAGAGTCCCTTGGGGGCGCTTTTTCTCTCGGCGGAGCACGGTCGAGTCACACGTGCTTGGCGCCCGGACACAGCTCCGGCCGGGGCGGCGCCTTCAGACGCAGCGGCTCCGGCGGCGGCAAGCTGGTACGGCTTTGCTCCCCGCCGCTTTTCCCTCCGCCGGCGGCTGCCCGCAAGCATCCGTGCCTCCTGAAGGGGCCAACCTGTTACTGTTTGGGAGCTGTGGCCGCGCGGTTCTGCGGCGGGCAGAACCTTTCCCCGCACCTTTCTCCGCACCTCGGCGTAGGAGGCATTTCGCTTTACCAGGGCCTCTGGACGCCCATTTTAAGTCGATAAAAAAGCCGAGTGGAATGTTTTGATTGAGTCTCAACATTGTCTTTGAATAAGGCTGGGACCATGTAATTAATGTGTCTTTTTAATAAGGGACAATACGGCCGTTCAAGCTATTTAATTTCATTTAATTTTCCATCCCATTTGCTGCACAGCCCGCTTTTACTTTTAACACCCAGCCTTTCACGGCCCATCTTGCTCCACTGGGCACATTAGATTGGTTTCACCCTTGCTTTTTAGGGAAGGAAAAATAAAAGAAAATGTGTTCCTTTCCTCCTTTGTGGACAATTTATTTCACTTGGGGAACTTCAACTCCGAGCCACAGGACAGAATAAAACTCGGCAAGCTGGTGTGAATGCCTCTGGCGCAGTCTCTTTCTTCTCGCGGGGCTGGGAACCAGCCACAATTGGCTATATTAATAAATAACTTTCCTCACAGTCGGCCTTTACATGGTCCTATTGATAAAATTGTTCGCGTGTCGTTCACGCTTTTTCACCCATTAAGGAGGGCCGGGGAGGCGCTCCGAACCCAGGCCCCGCGCTCGCCCCTGCCCGCTCGCAGTGCTGGTAATTTAAACTGGGTGTCATCCCAGAGTCGCCAGGCCAGAGGTTAGAGGGACATGTTCATGGCTTAAATTTATTGCCCTCCACTCTCCGGAGTGGCTTCCTCCCCTCCTCCCCTCCCCCAGCTTTTGCCATTCATGGGCCGCGGGATCAAAGGCTCCCTCCCGTCTTTCCAGGGCAACCTTCGCAGCCTGCAATGGGGCAATTGGAGAGTTCGGAGGGAAAAAAATCATCAGTGGCAGCTCTCTCAGAAGGTGCCTGCGCATGGCATGGCTACACCGTCCAATGGACCACACGTAGCAGCCACACAGATGCGCCCAGTGGCTGTTTCCTGCCAGTCTCGTCTGCAAAGGCAGTGAGTTGGCATGGTGGCTGGCCATCATGTGTCCTTGCAGGATGCTTGGAGCTAAGATTTTGATCTGGCCCGGAGTCTCCCATCGGCAAAGGGAGTTTTGGAGCTTCCGGAAACGCCGAAGTTGTTGTTACTGTCTTTCTGTAACAAACTAGGGGACGCAGCAGCCGAGAGGGAGCCAAGGGTCTGTTTGCACCCATTCCCATTTTACAGATTAGGAGACTGAGCCTCTCAAGGAATTCAACTAAGTCCTGGGTGGCCGAGCACAGAAGACATGATCCCAAGTCTCCGGTTGCTGTCAGAGAGAGCAGGGCTGGGAGAGCCGCACTGAGCTTCTTAGTGGCAGCATCCTGCCACCTTTGATAATCACAGGCACCCCCATCAGCGGGTCTGAGAGCTGCACTCCTCTAGGAAAAGCCGTACCGAGCCGCCTGCATGGGTAAGGTGCAGGGCCCAGCCCGTCTGCACAGTGGCAGAGCCTCCGACACAGGGCTGGAAACCCACCGCCCTTTGGGCATCTCTGGGAAGAACCGCCTCTGGCTCTCCCGCTGGCTGCGTGGCGGCACCTCAGACTAGCAGCGAACAGCAGGTACTGGCAGAATGGTCACAGATATTTCTGATGAGTCCGATGACTCGGCCACTATTTTATGAAAATAAATGTCCTCACACAAACAGGATTTCCGTCCAGGAAAACGCAGAGCACAGGAAGAACCTGCGCTGTGAGTTCCACGAACTCACGCCGGAGTTGTCTCAAAGGCCCACCTGGCTCCTCTTCTTGACAGACGTTATGGTGTTTTTTATTTTTACGAAAAGTCCACTTGGTTGGGCTTGGGGGAGTCAGTCCGAGGATTTCCTTCCTGTGATTTGCTTAAGAGCAAATCAGAGCTTTGAGTTGATCAGTGTGCATGTGGGGGAGGCATCATCCTTAATTCTGCCAGCAGAACTTGAGCTGCAAGCTTCAAGCGTGGTCCGGGGCGCATAATAGGCCCTTGGCTGCGCGGCCTCTTCCCATCCTCCAGAGAACTTGCGGGTCCGGGGTGCGCACGAGAACGCGGAAGCGCCACTGACTTCGCCTTCTCAATTTGATCCCGAGCCTTCGAATTTCGGGGAGAAACAGGACCCGGGTGGGGGTCGGAATTAAAGCGGTCCTTAGTAGAGGACTGGCCTGAACCCAATCCCCTGAAATGGTAATATGGTCGTTATTTAAAAAGTGTAGGTATTTTCTGGTGTTTTCTCATCAAGTACCTGCCTAATTTCTGTATGGCACACGCCAGAAATCAATAGAAGTTAACAAGTCCTCCAAACAGTCCCCGTCTCTTTGTTTAATCTCCTTTACAATAAAGCCAAGGGGAGAGAATTAAAAATCTTTGAAGTAGACCAAGGCTCAAAGGAATCAGCCAAGTAGACTTAAAGTAGTCACTTATTTCCCAAAACTGGTTTGTCGGCGAACAATAAAAGGAAGTAAAATTTATGGAGAAATTATACAGTGGATTTGTCACTTAAAATATCGTAACTGTCTGGGGAACAATACCCCATGCTGAGGATTAATGGTCCCGCCGGACCTTTGATTCACCAGCGCCTTTTCTTCGCCCTTGACAAATTGGATTTTTAGGAATGGGAAGGTCGCCTGGACCATTGTGTGCTAGCCATTCAGAGGCCTCGATTATGCAAGGGGGCTGAGGGAACCACTCCATGTGACCCTCTCGGGTGGGACTCTGCAGCTGCTTCGCAGCGCAACTCTCTCACCAAACTCCGCGCCCTTGCGCTTGCAGTGCCAAAAGGCGCCAGCCCCGATTGAAAAGGCGCAGTGCATGCCCGCCCGCGTCACTCCGCGGGCGGAGGACGCACGTCGGGGCGCGGCTCCCTGGCTTGCGCGCTGCTCCGGCTCTGTCACTCGCGCCCTGCGGAAGACCCTGCGCGCCCCAGCGACTGCCTGGCGGCGGCAGCAACAACCATGCACGGAACCACCCGCGCTCCGGCCGCCAGCGTCAGTGCCGACTGCTGCATCCCAGCCGGCTTGCGCCTCGGGCCGGTGCCCGGCACCTTTAAACTGGGCAAGTACCTGTCAGACCGCAGGGAGCCTGGGCCCAAGAAAAAGGTATTGGCCTTTGCGACCTTCACCCCCTGCCGTTTGCCTCCCTTCGCCCTGACCCAGGAAAGGGGTAGAAAAGGGAAGGGGAGGAAGGGGGTGATTGAGTCGTTACCTGCAACATCTGCCAGGTGGAAGGGGACTCCGATTATTCCTAATAAGTCTCGTTAGTTGAGAGCTGGATGTGGGCTGAGCTGAGGGGAGAGAACGTGACTGAGAACGGAAAGCCCTTAGGTGGATGCACCGGACTCTCTGTCTTCAGCAGTGCGGGAGGTCCTCCCGCCCCCACCCGCGTCCGCGCCTCTCTGTGAAAGCGCCCTCCTCTCTCTCTGCGGGTGCAACGCGTTGCGGACTTGTCTTGCGTTCTCCCCTCCAACATGCTAATTTGAAGTTTACATTTGCCTTAAAATACTTTAATTCAATTTCCTTGGCGGGGATGGTTGCGGGAGAAATAACCCTCAGAAGCTCTCAGTTCCTGGAACCTCCCCAGATTTTTCTTTCCGCCGTTTGCCTGTAGGTTTGGGGTAAGTGGAGAGAAAATGAGGCAGGTGGTTGCTCTGTCGCGAGCTCCAGGGGAGACGGGCATCCACCGGTCAGGGCACCTGCAGCCCGACTCTGAGAATCCAGGGTCCCAACCAGGAGGCGCCAGGGCCAGCTCGCTAGCTGTGACTCCTTAAGCAGCGTCACGACCCCTGACTAGAAAGGGGATTTAAACGTTACACCCACCCCCACCCCGCTCGCTCCTTGGGAGTGTCAAATAGCTGCCGGGGTGTGAAGGCAGGAGTCTGAAGGGAAGGCAGGACCGTAGCTGAGCTAACCGCTGCCTAGAGCCTGTTTGTCAGAAAGCTCCAGCGTCGGGTCAGCGGGACCCGCATCTCGCTGCAGGTGCCATCAACTCTTCTTCTCTTCGTCTCCCCCACCCCCACACCGCCCACAGTTTCGAGCGGGGCTCGCGGCGCACCACGCCTTCCTCTTTAAAGGCGATTTAATTGCTTTTAAATGGACGGCCAGCTGCGGACAAGCCTTTCGCTGCATGTGCTTTGTTCCCAGACTTTGGCTGCCAGACTCGCCTGCACCTAGGTGCGGTGCAGCAGAAACAGGGCGATGGGAGGGATTGGGAAGGAACGCGCTCTCTTGGCGCTGGGACTGACTTCACCACGTCTCTCCCGGGTGTTCGGGCTACATTCAGAACCCCAAGTGCCGGAGCCAAGGTGGGGGTGGGAGGGTTTTGAAACATGCCCGCCCCTTGTCCCCGCCCCCGGTGTTAGCAAGGTGGGGCGCACGCGGAGGGTACTGCTCTATCAGACTCCCCGCTTTCTGCCTCCACTCAACTAGGGTTCTAAGGAACCAGGCTCCTGCCAGCACTCGGTTCTGTCCTGGTCAAGGAGAATACCATAAATTTCCCGAGTAGGGTGGGGTGAAGGAGAAACTCTCCCTCTGGTTTGTGGGGCCTGACCGTGGGGCGCGGGAGAACGACCACTGCTTGTGTTGCAGGTGCGCATGGTGAGAGGGGAGCTGGTGGACGAGTCGGGGGGCTCCCCTCTGGAGTGGATAGGGTTAATCCGAGCAGCCAGGAACCCCCAGGAACAGACTCTGGAAGCCGTTGCAGACTTACCTGGAGGACAGGTACTGCGGACTCCCCACACCCTGTCTACCCAACCGTCCTTATGGCAGCCAACAACACTGAGCAAAGCGTTTTAACTAGAAGTGTCATTTAAACCTCCCAACTACCCTTTAAGGTAAATGCTACTGTATTAGCTTCCCTTTGGAAGGATGAGAGAAGCGAGGTTCAGAGAGATCCAGTAGCTTCTCCAGGGTCACACAGCACCAGAGGCTGGGATCTGAACCTTTCTTCTCAGTCGCTTCTTGATGAATGAACCCGGAAATGACAGCTGTCCTATTCCTTGGGTCTCAGATCTTCTACCGAGCGTTGCGGGACGTCCAGCCTGGGGAAGAACTGACTGTGTGGTATTCCAACTCCTTGGCTCAGTGGTTCGACATCCCCACTACCGCGACCCCAACGCACGACGAGAAAGGTACCCCCTCTGAGAGGGCTGCAGGCTAGCGGGTGGGTGAGAGTCTAGACCTCCTCTGGTCTTCAGGCGCATCCCCAGATTGGAAGGACTTTTCTCTGGAGCTGTGTAAAACTGAGTTCACTCTCCCTCTGTAGAAGAGAGGCAACGTCATCACCACCTCCTTAAAACAATGGTGACGACAGCGACAATTATAAGGTGGCTCACTATGGCAGGGAGAAATACCAATTTTGAACTTTATTGGGTCATGCTTTTCTATTGCATGCCCTCAACGACATTATATACTCAATTAACAATCAATAAAAGAGCCTTAAAATATTGCTACTGTGATTACATGGTGAGTTCCAGAGAGCATACCTCAAAGCTAGAGTGCTTTCACTGGGTAGGAGAGCATCTCTTCACTGGCTTTCAACAAGACCAAGGCAGGTCTACAGCAATTTACAAGTATTACGGTACTTATGGCTGGTCAGTTGGCAGGTACTGGGCCCTTCCATTTAAAAGGTATTTGTTCCCTTTCCCCTCCCTACTTAAATTGAATCTGGGATGTATCCCAGTTTCTCCTCAGATTTATTTGATTTATTTGGTGCCTTTCAAAGCCAAGAGCAGATTTATGCAAATGGAGGTGCAGTAACTAAAGAGAAAGGGAATTTCAAACATTCCCTAGAATACTGAAGAACACAGGAAGTGTTTCTTATACACAATGCTTCCATGACTTTCTTTTCTGCCTCTGCCAATTATTTTACTTTGTAACTTCTCCCAAAGACCCATTTATTTTTTAGTCAACACTCCACCAATGAGACGGAATGAAGTTTATTGAGAACGTTAAGTTACTTCTCTTTAAAGTATCACTATTGTCTGTAAATTAATTCTACTATGTATTGGGTAGATTTGCATGCAAGTATTTGTAAAAATTATGCTAGCATAGTTTGTTCCTTTCATTGCATTGTCTTATATTCTCTCATCAACTTCTTTCAGTAAAAGCAGCACGGTAAGAGCCCCCGTATTAGGGAAATCTCAACTCAGCCACTGCAGAACAATTTGTAAGACCCCTCTCCCTTTTCTAAATAAACCACCCTTCCTTAAGTACCCCCAAATAGTACCAAAGCAACTTCTTTTAGTGGTGACCCTAAGAGTTTGTATTTCAATCAAATGAGCTATAAACATCATAGGAACAGATGTCAAAATACACACCATTTTCCTTTTGAAGAAGGTTTGAGTTGTTCTGAACCTAACTTCCCCAGCTTGGAGATGTTTGAAATCTTGACCACCTTAGGTTTACATGAAGGAGATGGGAGAAAGTCACTTATGAAGTATGTTTGATACACTTGGCATGAGTTGGATTTCAGTCTGGAGATCATGCCAGTTTGTTAGAATAAACTGAAAAGGAGATATATTGAATTAGAAAACACATTTTGCTTAAATTGTGGAAACAGGAAGACATGAGGTATGGATGCCAGTCTTCCAATCCTGGATTCTTGAGTGGTTTTCGTTCCATAGCTTGATTAAGAAATATACTGTCCCTTAGTCTTAACAACCTTGCTTTCTTGGTATTGCATTGAGGTATATCATTCTGGGGCAGACTCTGAAAATTCCCTGATAATAGGAAAGTTCTGAACTTAAGAAAAGGGAGATTATTTAAGATAATACATTGACATACTCATCAAGAGGACCCAAGAAGTCTCACTGTCTCTTTTTTTTTTTCAAATTTAATTGACATGGGTGTTCAATACAAGGTAATGAATATTGAAAAGGTTTGCACTGAATCTTTTAACAATTAGGGTAGGATCGCACAGGCAAATCTCCTTTTCCTTTCTCTTTCTCCCTTTGCCTTTTTGGAATTATATGCTTTTCACTTAACTTTCATCTTTATTGTGGAGATGAGATACTATATGTTTTATGCATATATACAAAGGAAATCTGTATTTTCTCACCATTGTTATTTGCCTACTAATGTTTGAGCTTAAAGTTTAAACTTTCCCATTAGCTTTTAGGAGACTGATGTATACTTTGAATACTTCCTTGTGGGTCCCTTCAGTATTATCAACCGTATTCTAAAAGAAACTGAATTGCAAGATTGCGCTTCTCTGTACAGAAGTATTATGACCTTTTTGAATAGAAAGTAACTTCTTCCATGTGATCAGAATCTTTATCATAGATATAGTTGTTGATTGTGTTCACAGAGTCTGGCAAAAATTAAAAACAACTCTTGCTAATAATATTAAACACACATATTTGACACCCAAATATCTATCATGCCTGATAGAGAATCCTATGCTTATTAAAAAGTCTTCCTATTTATCTCACCTATAGATCCATGTAATAAAACACAAAGTAATCTTGCTTTTCCAAGGACTTTACTAAAATTGGATTACTATAGCTATCAAGGAGTTAACCATCAGGATGAACAACTCAGGGGATAACGCAACATCATCCTTCTTGGAATATCACCATCCTTTCTAGGATATCAGGACATAGGATTTGTCTTTTCTTCCTCCAAATTAAATGGGGTTAAAGAGGGAGTATACAAATAATTTTGAAGAACAGCAAATTATAGTCCCTATGTGGTCCTTCAGTTGGTCACGCTCCAGGAAAACCTCAGGCAAAGTGTTAAAAACTGGGAGGGGGTAGAAAGGGTGGGTAGTGGACACAAAAGACATTGTTCTATGGAAGGGAATGATTACATATGGCCCATACATACAGGATATTGTCTCGCCTGGTAATGAGGCGCTCATGACCATTAGATTGGCCTTTGTTCAGTTTATCCAAACTCCTTGACATACGCCACCTATTCTGCAAACGCCAACAGATGGGCCCAGGCCCAGCACAGCCTCAACACTTGATTTAAAGCAACAGCTGCTCTCTGCTCTTCCCCGGCCAGACTGAGTACTGCTCTACCAACTAAGGTTTGCTTGGATGGCCTGGAGGAAGTCTTCCTAGGAAAGGTCCAGGTCGCCCCTCTTGGCCTCACAGTAGTCCCAGAGGATGGTGATGATGATAAGGATTGGTCATTTGGAGCTTATGGGTTCTTGATACAATAGGGATACCGGCGGCCCCAAAGATTCTCCTGCTTCTCCCATTACCGCTGGTGAAAACCTAGGCTTTACCGGGCGGGGTGGGGAGGGGTGGGTGTACTGCCGCTTTCTGTCTGGCTTGCTCGCCTCTCATAGGGTCGCTTTCTCACTCTTTCTCGCCCAGGGGAGGAGCGCTACATTTGCTGGTACTGCTGGAGGACTTTTAGATACCCTAACAGCCTCAAGGCACACCTGCGTTTCCACTGCGTGCTCAGCGGCGGCGGGGGCCGCGCCTTCCTGCATCACGAGCACGCGGCTCGCCCAGGAGCTGCCCCGGGGGCCGATGGCCTTGGCCTCTCGCTCAAACCCTCGGTGCCCGACTTCGCCGCGCCCGCAACCGCGCCCGCAGGCTCTTTGAGGCCCCACCCGCAGGCCCCACAGCCCTCTCAGGGCTGCGGAGCGCGGGAGAGCATCAAGCGTGAGGCCTCCTCTGCGCCCTCGGCCACCTCCCCACCCCCGGGCAAGTGGGGACTGCCCAAGAAGGGCAAGGAGCAGCCGGACCGTGCCCTGGACATGAGCGGGGCCGCTCGAGGACACGGCCACTTTCTGGGCATCGTGGGCGGCTCCCCAGCGGGGGGCGGGGGGCTGGCCTTCTACCCCGGCGCGCGCTCGGCTTTCAAGCCCGCCGGCTTAGCCAGGGCTGCCACAGCCACGCACGGCGACCTCTACAGAGAGGAGGGCGGCGGCAAGCAGGGAGCCGGCCTAGCCTTGGGCAGGTTGCTGGGTGGGGGACGGACAGGCGGGCGCCCCGGGAGCGGGGAGAACCCGGCGGCGGGCGGCGCGGGCCACCACCATCACCACCACGCGCATCACCACCACCACCACCCCAAGTGCCTTCTCGCCGGGGACCCGCCGCCGCCGCCGCCCCCACCGCCGCCGCCGCCTGGCCTGCCCTGCTCCGGGGCCCTGCGCGGATTCCCTTTGCTCCCGGGCCCTCCAGAAGAGGCATCGGCCTTCAAGCACGTGGAGCGCGCCCCGCCCGCCACCGCTACTGCGCTAGCCGGAGCGCGGTACGCGCAGCTACCCCCAACGCCAGGGCTGCCCCTAGAGCGGTGCTCTCTACCGCCGCTCGAAGCTGGGGGGCTCAAGGCCTATCCTGGTGGCGAGTTCGGCCATCTGCCTGCGGTCATGCCGGCCTTTACTGTCTACAACGGGGAGCTGCTCTATAGCTCGCCGGCTGCCGCCGCTTATTACCCGCTCAAACTGCACTTTGGCGGGCTGCTCAAATACCCTGAGTCCATCTCCTACTTCAGTGGGCCCGCAGCTGCGGCTGCAGCGGCCGCCCTAAGCCCTGCAGAGATAGGCTCCCTGGCCAGCATCGACCGTGAGATCGCCATGCACACGCAGCAGCTGTCGGAGATGGCGGCTGGGAAGGGCCGCGGCCGCCTGGACTCGGGGACGCTGCCACCGGCCGTCGCGGCGGCAGGTGGCGCTGGGAGCGGCGGCGGCGGCTGCAGCGCCGGCAAACCCAAGACGGGCCACCTGTGCCTCTACTGCGGCAAGCTGTATTCGCGCAAGTACGGGCTCAAGATCCACATGCGGACACACACGGGCTACAAGCCACTCAAGTGCAAAGTGTGCCTGCGGCCCTTTGGAGACCCCAGCAATCTCAACAAGCACATCCGGCTGCACGCCGAGGGCAACACGCCCTACCGCTGCGAGTACTGCGGCAAGGTGCTAGTGCGCCGGCGGGACCTGGAGCGCCACGTGAAGTCGCGCCATCCAGGCCAGAGCCTGCTTGCCAAAGCGGGCGACGGCCCGGGCGCCGAGCCCGGCTACCCCCCGGAGCCTGGGGATCCCAAGAGCGACGACAGTGACGTAGACGTCTGTTTCACGGACGACCAGAGCGACCCCGAGGCCGGGGGCGGCTGCGAGCGCGACTCCTAACGGCGCTACCCGGGCAGGGGTGGGTGCAGGGTCAGGGTGGAGCGTGCGTGTGTGTGTGTGTGTGTGTGTGTGTGTGTGTAGGGGTAGGGGGAGATCCGGTTGTGTTTCGGGGAGGGAGCCAGCTTTGGAACAATAATCTTTCGGAAACTCGACTCGGTGTTCAGAGGCGGGCCGCCGGTCACATCCGCTGCACCCCACGCCTCTGCACTCCTAGGCTTGACCTTCTGACCACGTCTCTGGCGGTCCGCTCTAGAGGTTTACGGTCGCATGAATACCAACGTCACAGCACCCTCCAGGTGCCAATTTTAACGGCCACGTATTTTAAAATTGTACTTTTCTGTGGAGGAAAGTGTGCCTTTTGAAACGACGTTTTGTGTGTATTTTACATTAGTTTCACTGCATAGTGGCGACTCGGCAGAGGTGACATGCCTACTTTTTTCCATTTCATCTCTTCTTATGTCGCGTTACGGCTTGCTGCGTTGATTATATAGTGGTAGTGGGTGTACAAATTGATCACGTTCCAATTATTTATGAGATTAATGATACATGTAAAATATCTAAAGCATGAATCTAAGAGCATGCAATATATGATTTTAAAGAAAAATCCTATTTGGTAGAGTACAAATGTGGTGTGTGTTGTTTTATTATGAATGATGTACAGTGGATAACGGTGTTTTGGTCTTGGTTCCATTTTGTGCAATCTTTAAGAAAAATAAAGATACAAACGAGAGTTTGTTCACTTAGCAGTTTCAGCAGATTTTTTTTTGAAAAAAGAATAGTTTAATTTTAAAACAACTTTCCAGGAGACGCCACAATAAAAAAATCATAGAAGATTTGATGATTTTATTATTGATAAATAAACGCTAAGCTGTGTTAAAACAGGAGAAATAGGCTATCTTTCTTTTCTTTTTCTTTTTTAAAAAACATGTTTATCTGAAAGTCAGTTACAGCAAGGCGGGGGGGGGGGTGGAGAGAGAGAGAGAGAGAGAGAATCTTTCATCAACTGGTTCACTCTCCAAATGGCTGCAAGAAGCCAGGAGCCAGGAACATCCTCTGGGTCTTCCACATGGGTGCAGGGGCCCAATCATCTTCCACTATTTTCTCAGCAGGGTGGTGGATTGGAAGTGGAGCAGCTGGGATTCTAGCCAACACCCATATGGGGTGCAGGGTAGGGGTGTGTATGGGGGGTTGCAGGGTGTGGGGGAGGGGCTGCAGATGGCAGGTGCTTAACGATCTGTGGCACAGCTCTGGCCCCTAGACCATTTTCAATACTTGCATTTCACAGGTCTCCAGATAGCAGGCAAAGCAGTGGTTTTCCAAAACCATTTTAAATCATGCTAAATATTTTCACATTATTGAAGATGCTTCAAGAAAAAAATTCCCACATATTGGGACACACACTGTAGAAGAGTGGGCTAAACTGTTGTGTGCCATGCTGGCATACCATGTGGGCTGAATTTGGAGTCTCAGCTGCTGAACTTCCCATCCAGCTCCCTGCTAATGCTCCTGGGAGAGCAGCAGAGGATGGTCCAAGTGTTGGGTCTCTGCTACCCATTTGGGAGACTTGGATGGAATCCCACTGGGTAGTGAACCAGCAGATGAAAGATCTCTTCCTCTCTGTCTCTCTCTCTCTTTCTATAACTCTGCCTTTCAAATAAGTAAATAAATCTTTTTAAAAAATTCCACATAGTATGCCTTGTCAAAAAGAATGGCCAAAAATTGCTGAATCACTGTTTTTTGTTGTGTTTGGTTTTGACAACTTTCTCTGGGAAGCAAAATACCTTTTAGTATTCAACAAATACTAAAGGAGGATATATTTTGTTGTGGGTGCTGACCTACTGGCTTAATGTCAGTTTCTTTTTTTCTGTGCACTTCTCCTAACAATTTTGTGCTGTCAGTGTTAATCCCATTTTACAGATGAGAAGCATACTGTTCAGAGTCTCATAATTGGAAGAGCAAAATCGGATGCACTAATTATATTTACTGGTTTTAAAAAAATTGAGGTTAGCCAAGGAAGGATATAAAAAAGACTATAATCTTATTAGCTAAAATTAGAAGCCATCCCTTCTCTCCATACTCTGGGGAAGATTTCACTCTAGGAAATGGAGTATTAGGTCTGCAGTTAAGGGCATGTACCCTAGGAGCTCAGATCTGCAGCACTTTTCTGAGATTGGTTCAGAGACTCTGATAAATCACCAAAGGGTCTGGATATGACACTGATGCTTTTACTCTCTTCAAAATATCCTTTATTTTCTGAATGCTGAATGCTTGCTAAGTCTTCACGCTGCTGTCCCTGTTGGGAACACTGCCGCAGTCACTGAGTGGTTGGCAGTAACTTTTTCTGGCACATCACAGCAGCCAGGCAGGGGGGATGGGAAGTGAGGGGGAGGGCATCTGGGCATCTGATTTCTATTGGTAATGATTTATGAAAAAATTCCTATGAGAAAAATGATGCTAGACATGATAGGTTTTCAGTTTTAATTGAACAGAAAATGTTTTTGCTTTATGAAAGAAAACCTTAAAGGAAAACAAGAAGAGGAATAATAAATAAATATGATGACAAAGATACAATCATTTAGTAGGACTTACTCTGTTCAGACTCTTAAGCTGCTCAAACAGTTTCCTCTCCAAGAACGACTGGGGCTTTCCCCAGCAGGTTCAGGGATGGCCTTGCCACACATAATTGGAAGTGAACCCAAACATCTTGCTAGACTTGGGTTCCAGGGTCTCCAAGCTTCTCAGCTCTCCAGGAGCTCAGAGTTTCTCAGCTCATGCCTAATATAGTGTACTGCCCTGTGAAACATTTATTCCTTGAAATCAAATCTAGCCTTCAGTATAATATTGGCGAACTTTTCTGAAATCAGATCATGTATGTTCTCAAGGACAATGACAAAGGCTGCCTCCATTTGAAATATGGGAAAAGTTGTATTAGCTATAAAATTACTGTTCCCTCCTCTCATTTCCTGGCTCAGTACTAACTCCCACAACTCTTGTTGTTTTATGTGGGAAGAGTCTATAAAAAACTAAATTAAAAATCATTTGGTTAAAAAACACACATTGAGAATCAAGGAAGGTTTAATAAAACAAGCAAAACCCCAGGTTTCTGTTTGTAAATTCATATCTATTAGAAGTTATGAGAATGGAGTCCAATATAAAAATTGGAAACCAAACATAAAAGGCTTATTTATTCTCTTGAGAGGCAGAGTAGGTGAGCTCCCATCTACTGGTTTACTCCCTAATTGCCTGCATTGGCTCTCCAAGGAGAAGCTGGGAAGTCAAGCCAGGTTTTCAACGTAGGTGGGAGGAACCCAACTACTTGAGCCTTCACCAGTTCTCCCAGAAAGCTGGAGTTAGGATGAGGGATTGAATCTGTGCACTCTGAGGTGGGACACCAGCATCCTAATCACTAAGCCAAATTCTCTCATAAAAGGATCTTAACTGTTGGCTACTTGAAATTCTCCATAGGTTGCCTCAGATAGCTTCTGAGATTTGTTCATATATGCGCCTAGGATCACATACCATTCATGCCATTATTTATTCTAATGCTAAAATCAAGTAAGTGCAAACTTATACAATGTTATTTATTTATTTACTTATTTTTAAAGATTTATTTAATTATTTGCAAGGCAGAGTTACAGAGACGCAGAGGCAGAGAGAGGTCTTCCATCCACTGGTTCAACTCCCCAAATGGCTGCAACGGCTGGAGCTGTGCCGATCCGAAGCCAGGAGCTTGGGGCTTCTTCACGGTATCCCACGCCACTTCAGGGGCCCAAGGACTTGGGCCATCTTCCACTGCCTTCCCAGGCCATAGCAGAGAGCTGGCTCGGAACTGGAGCAGCTGGACTCCAATCGTCACCCATTTGGGATGCCAGCACTGCAGACCATGGCTTTACCCCCTACTCCACAGCGCCGGCCCCGACAATGTTATTTAAGTGGCACAGTTGCATTAGAGTTTCTCAGATTCCTTCTTCCAGTCTCCTATCCCTTTCTCTCCACTGATGTCCCCTCTCGCACCAGTTCTTCTTATCGTATGGATCACAGCTATCGGAGGAGCACTCTAAAACACTGGAGGCTTTTAACATTATAACTGAATATTTTGCAAGAAAAAACAACAATAATAAAAAGATAGAGTGTGTGTGGGGGGGGGAGGACTCACGTCTTTATAAATGAAGGACATAAACAAATGAGAATGACCTGGATTCCCGTTTCGCCTCCATCAGCTTGGCATTTTGTAGCGGTCTCTCTATCGCCCATATCTCCTCATTTGTAAAACAGGACAAAACAAGCAATAGGGTAGTGGTAAACACTAAATGAGATAATGACGGCAAACTGCTCAGAATCTCGCTTGACACAGCCAGATTTCTCAAGCCATGTTAAAACGACCCTAGCAACCCTTTGTGGTTTCGTGTCGAAGACATCAGCCTAAGGGGATTGAGGTGGACAGCCTTTCAAAAGCATTAATGCCTTTTTGCATTTTGCTCGGCCGCGCAGAGGAGTAAATTTAAGCACAAGCATTTAGTGGAGGCGAGCGCGAGCATCTCCCTTCAAGAGCCAAGCTGACAGCGAGAGAATCCAGCCAGGTCTGCAACGGCTCTAGGCGAGGGTCGCTTCTGTATTTCCTGTGTATACTCCGAGGGAAGGTGGAAGGGTCAGAACCGCGGTTCGGCGGTGCTTTTGGTAGTGGTGTTCTAGAGCCGAGAGCGCGATGATTGGTTGAGCCTCATTACTCTGAGCCTTCCCATTGGCTCATCCTTTGGAACCATGGCTGCTATTGGTGGGGGGCTGGCCGCGCGCGAAGGTTTGGGCAGGCGCCGTCCGCGGAGAGCCCCGGGCGCAGGGGCTGCGTCGCGGCGTGGGCCGGTGCGCCGGTGTCTGGAAGCTGGTAAGGGTCAGAACCGTGGTCCGCACCTGAGGCGCTCTCCGCTGGGGTTTCCTGGTTCTGGACTAGGGCAGAGCTCTGGCACTTTTGCCGCGTGTACGTATACTGTCTCGGAGCCTCGCAGCGGGAAAACTCGCGGCGCCCAGCAGGTGGCCGAGGGAGTTTCAGGCCTGCCTGCTCCTTGCTCCAGCGCCGTGCCTCGCCGTCGCGGGGAGCTGAGGCACCACAGCCTCGCGCCCTCACCATCTGCTGCTTCCCCAAATGAAGACGCGCAGAGGCGCCGGCGTCGTCGGGAGGTCAGACGTGACCCCTGGCCGCCCAGGTGTGAGTTCTGAAGCAGAGGACTCAACAGACGCGGGGCAACGTGTTTAGTTCCAGGAGGAGCGTGGCTCTCGGTCTGCGCTCCGTGACCTTCCTACAAAAGATGAAAGGAGATCTGCTTGCACCCGCGACTGTAGTTTAATTTAAATTAGGTGAAACCCTTGTCCCGAAGACTTGTTAATGTCTTTGTCTGGCGAACCATCCTTCTGAGACTCCTGCAGAAAGGGACCGAGTTTGGGTGGACTCTGTATGCACTTAACACCTTTTGAAGGCAATTTTATATTTTACGTACAGTATGCTTTAAACTTTAACGTTTTGTTTAATACATGAAAGTGAACGCGCACGTACAATAAAGAATATGAAAGCAATAACATGGAAAAATACACATTTTGGTGATTTGAGTTAAACAGAGTAAGAAATTTTTCATGGAGAGCGAGGAAAAGTTAAAGTATATTTGATGTCAAATATCATAAGTCGTTTTTTTCCCCCAAAGCTTGCTTTTGCCTAATTCAGTGCTGTAGAAAATGGCTGCAGCTATGTTTC